TATATACCTATGAGCTGAATTGCTGGCTGTATGATAATTCTGTTTTGAGTTTTGAGAAACTATCATACTATTTTTCAAACAGCTGCACCATTTTGCATTTCCATCAGCAATGTATGAGAGTTCCAATTTCTCTACATCCTGGTCAACACTTGTTATTCTTCTTTATTATTCTTTTTTGCTATTGTTTTGGCTATTCTGGGTTCCTTGAAATTCCATATGTATTTTAGAGATGGCTTGTCAATTTCTACAAAGAACTCATTTAAGTTTGTGATAGAGATTGCATTTTAGCTGTAGATCAGTTTGGGAAGTATTGCCATCTTAACAATATTAAGTCTTCCAATCTGTGAACATCTTTAATTTCTTTCAACAGTTTTTTAGTTTGCAGAGCTTAAGTTCTTCACTTTTTTCTTTTTTATTGAGGTATAATTGACTTACAATGTTATATTTAGTTTCAGGTGTACAACATAATGATTCAATATTTGTATATATTGCAAAGTGATCACCACAGTAAGTCTAGTTAGCATCCATCACAGCATGTTGTTACATAATTTTTTTCTTGTGATGAGAACTTTTAAGATCTACTGTATTAGCAATTTCAAATATGCAATATGGTATTATTAACTATAGTTGCCATGCTGTACATTACATCTCCATGACTTATTAATTGGTTTTCACTTGTTTTTAAAAATTTATTCATAACTATTTTATTCTTTTTTTGGTTTTTTTTGTTGTTTTTTTTTGCGGTACGCGGGCCTCTCACTGTTGTGGCCTCTCCCATTGCGGAGCACAGGCTCCGGACGCGCAGGCTCAGCGGCCATGGCTCACGGGCCCAGCCGCTCCGCGGCAGGTGGGGTCTTCCCCGACCGGGGCACGAACCCGCGTCCCCTGCATCGGCAGGCGGACTCTCAACCACTGCGCCACCAGGGAAGCCCTATTTTATTCTTTTTGATGCTATTTTGAATGGAAATGTTTTCTTAATTTTATTTTCAGATTGTTCATTGCAAGGTAATAGAAATACAGTTGATTTTGCTATATTGATCTTGTACTCCACAACTTTGCTGAACTCTTATTAGTTCTAATAGTTTTTAGTGAATTCCTTACGATTTTCAATATACAAGATCATGTCATCCATGAATAGAGACAGTTTTACTTCTTTCCAATCTGGATACCTTTGTTGCCTTGGCTAAAACCTCCAATACCGTGTTGAAGAGAAGTGGTGGGAGCAGAGATCCTTGTCTTGTTCCTGATCTTAGGGGAAAGCATCCACTCTTTCACCATTAAATATGATGTCAGCTGTGGGTATTTCATAGATGACTTTTATGGGTTGATGAAGTTCCCTTTTATTCTTAGTTTGTTGATTTTTCATCATGAAAGAGTGGGATGGTGAATTTTGTCAAATGCTTTTTCTGAGTCTATTGAGATGATCATGTGATTTTTTTTGTTTTTTTCTATTGATATGATATATTACATTACTTGATTTTCAGAAATTTAACTTGTATCCCTGCGATAGATCCTACCTTGCCATGGTGTATAGTTCTTTTTATGGGGCTGGATTTGTTTTGATAATATTTTTTTGAGGATTTTTGCATCTGTATTCATAACGTTGGTCTGTAGTTTTCTTTTCTTGTGGTATCTTTATCTGGTTTTGGAGCAGGGATATGCTAGCCTCACAAAATGAGTTCAGAAGTATTTCCTTCAACTTTATTTGAGAAGAATTGGTATTAATTCTTCTTTACATGTTTGGTAAAATTCAGTAGTGAAGACATCTAGGCCTGAGCTTTTCTTCATGTGTAGCTTTCTGAATTCTGATTCAATCTTTTACTTGTTATAAATTTATTCATATTGTCTATTTCTTCTTGAGCCATCCTCTTACTCTCAACCTATTTGTGTCTGAATCTAAAGTGTGTCTCTTCCATATATCAGATAGTTAGATGCGTTATTTATTCTGCCAATCTCTGTGTAATAAGGAGTAGGACTTCTTTTTCATATTTGACTGCTGACAGCTTTCCAGTTACACCAGTAGCTTTCTGCCTCATGTCTGGGCAATTTGGTAAGAAAGCCTGGATGCTCCCTTCCTTCACACTTGTGGAAAGTTCAAGCCATACAAGGACCCATGTGAAGAAACTCTCACCCCTCAACCACCATAAAATGTCAAACCAGTCATCCCTCTCTGCTGTCTGCAGCCATTTTTGGACCTGCTTGAGGGCCTATCATGCTCTCCCCAGAACTGCTCATTATGTGAATAATCATTTTATATTCACTCTTGGTACATGCGTGGTATCATCAGCCTTGACAGCTGAGCAAATTTGGAGTAGGGAGACCCATCCTGTCTCTGCAAGATTACCACCATATTTTGCCTTTTGATTGAAATATTTAGTCCATTTACATTTAATGTAACCACTAATATGGCAGGATTTATGTCTGCCATTTTGTTATTTGCTTTCTATATATCTTGTCTTTTTTTGTTGTTTCTTTATTCTTCCTTCTTTTGTGGTAAATAGATATTTTCTAGAATACCATTTTAGTTCCCTTGTTTCTTTTAATATATATACATATACATATATGTATATATAGTGAGAGTTATTTTCTTAGTAGGAAGAATTACACTTAGGGAATTATACCAGGGAATTACAATTAACATCTTAACTTATAACATTCTAGTTCAGATTAATACCAGCTTAATTTCAGTAATATACAAAGACTCTGCTCCAGTGTAGGTTTGTTTCTTTTCACCTCCTTTGTGCTATATTGCCATACAGATTATATCTTTGTACATTATAAACCCACCAATGCAGTTTTATATTTATTGCTTTATGCAGTTGTCTTTTATATAAGATTTGAGAGGAAAAGAGTTACAAACAAAAATTAAAGTATACTGTCTATATATTTACCTAAGTCATTGCTTTTCCTGGTTCTCTTTATGTCTTTGGGTGTGTTCAAGTTACTGTCTAATGTCCAATGTGAAGGACTCCCTTTAATATTTCTTGTAGAGCAGGTCTGATGGTGATGAATTCTTTTAGTTTTTGTTTATCTGGGAATGCCTTAATATTCCCTTCATTAAAAAAAAATAGACTTTTTAGAGCAGTTTTAGGTTCAGAGCAAAATCCCTCTGCTTCACTGACTGCTGCTTCTCATCTGAGTTGCTAGCTTCTCCTGGGCTTGACCTCTAATGTTGGTATCCCTCTATAGTCCTTGTCTGCATCCTCTCCATAGGGGATCTCATCTGGTCCTGTGACTTTCAATGGAATCTATATGCCTATGATGACCAAAGTCAGGTCAACACTCCTGACCCTCCACACACATATTCAACTGCCATCTTGACCTCTTTTTATGATCATCTAATAAACATCTCAAATTTATAATGAATAAACAACCATTGATTTTTATTTCCAAACCCATCATTCTCCCCAAGTGTCCCTACGGCTTGTTGCTAACACTATTCACCTAGTTGCCCAAGCCAGAAACCCAGGAATCATCCCTGGTTCTTCTATTTCCCTCAATTATCTATCCAGTCCATCACCAAGTACTGTTGTTTCTACCTCAAAAATATATCTCTAATCTACCGACTTCTCTCCATCTCCACTGCACCCCCAGTCCTAGGGCATCCTCCTCTCTTTTCTAGACTACTGTAATTATTCCACTAACTGGCCTGATTCACTCTTTCTTCCCCTACAATCAGTTCTCCACATGGCAACCAAATGCTCTTTAAAACATAGATCAGACTAAGTTACTTCCTTGCCTAAAGCCCTATAAAGGCTTCCTGTTGTATTAAAAACAAAAACACAAAGGAAGCCACATGTCTTACCTTAACGCTGTCCACCTCTGGGCCTCATCTCATCCCCTCCTTCTCCCTCCACTCCAGCCATATTGGCCTTCTCTCTGCTCCTGAAACATAGCTGCTCATCTCCAAATTGGGGCTTCACACTTACCAGCACCCTCTTCTCTCACGGCGCCTGTGGCTGGCTCCTATCACCAACATTTTAGTCCAAGCCTTGCCTCCTTGCAGCAAGCTTTTCTGCATCTCTAAATCATCTTCACCCCCTTACTGCACACCTCCCTACTTCCATCACACCCTGTGGCATCACTCCATTATACTATCTTTGTTACAGATACAACTCAGAAATTTTTCTGTTCATGATTTATGATTTTACTGTCCATCTCTCCTCTCCACCCTTCCATTCTCAACTTTAATATAAGTGCCATTGAACAGGAGTCTGTCTTGCTCACTGCTGAATCCCTGCACCTATAATAATGCCTGCCATTTACTAGGCTTCAGTAAACAGATATTGGGCAAAGGAATGAATGAATGAATTTCACTTTTAGCTTAGGAAGTAAGGCCTTATGTGCCAGATGCAGGTTTGCCTGCTCCACTGTACATTTTCAACATGGGAAGAAGATGCTGCCCTTCCCATAGCAGCTGCACTTTGTGCCTTTCTCTCTGCTTCTCTTCCTGGCATGTCCATAGCACTGGGGAGTTCTGAAGAGAAGGGAAGGCTCAGTTCTGGTTCAAAAGAAAAGTTATCTTACTTTTCTTAAGAAGACAGGACTCATGAATTGGAGGACAACCTAAGGCAAAAAATCTACTGGGTTGGATGGAATCAAGTGCCAAAATGTTTGAATTAGACCTGTGGTCCCCAAACACTGCCAGCTCCACCAGAGTCCCCTGGGGAGCTTGTAAATAATGCAGTTTTAGGGGTCCCACTCTGGAAACTAAGATTTGAGAAGTCTGAAGTGGTGCTCAGGAATCTGAATTCTTATAAAAGTTTCCCATGGGTTTCTGACAGTTAGCCAGGATTGGGAACCTCTGGTCTGTCTGGGACAAGGGATTTGCAGATGAGCTGGCCCTTAACTCATGTGAGGCAGCTGGCGGAATGAGCAAGGTCAGCCCAGATGAGAGCCGGGGGGAGAGGGGGAGGCAGTGCTCAGAGGTGGGGAGCAGCAGGGCCAGTGCTGGGAGCAGGGGGCTGCCAGCTAGTTGTGTCCCTCTCTCTGCCTGCCAGTGGCCCGGTACCGCGTGACAGTGTGCACTGGGGAACTTGAAGGTGCGGGAACGGATGCCAACGTCTACCTCTGCCTTTTTGGTGATGTGGGGGACACGGGGGAGCGGCTGCTCTACAACTGCAGGAATAACACCGACCTGTTTGTGAAGGGCAACGTAAGTTCCAGCAGTGCAACTCCCTCAGCCCCGCCCCACCCCTTCCCATTCCCTTGTCTTCCCTGCTCTAAGTAGAGCCGACCTCGGCCATCAGGGAGGCTGTCTCTGGGTGCGCGAACAGGGAACTACATGCATGACAGCCACCAGTCTCCTAAGACTGGGAGCTGGCCCACACCTTAGCTTTGAGAAGAGGGCAGAGCAGGAAGACAGTTGGGGTGGGCAGGGAAGGAAGCTGGGCACCTTATGTGCGGACTGAAGGTCCTAGGCATGCTGAAAGCTGGGACACCTGAAGGAACATTGCATCTCCACTAAGCATGACCACTGGTGGCAACTTGTTCGTTTCCTTTTTGAAAGAGAAATCAGGAAAGACGCTAAACATGGAAGTGGGAGAATTGGGTTCTATTCCTAGCCTCATTACAAACGTGCTGGGTGATCCCTTTGGTTTCCCCAACCGTCACCTGGATTTACTGGGGAGGCTGTGTGAAACAATGGGGAAAGAGT